GACAGAAAGAATGTTCACTCCAGGGCCTACCACAAAGCGCTCAGCGTCGGCAAGGGCATGGGCAAGACGCGCGAGGAGGCCAAGCAGTTTGCAAGGCAGGAAGCTGGGATGGCACACGCATTACAATAGGGTTGGGTTTTGAAGCTGATTGCATAGTTGTTGAGAGGTTACGTGAGCTGATTTACATGTCGCTGGAAAGGTTTCGCATTCATGAGAGTCTATATCCTTGAGAGTCTGCAGTCATGAGAGTTGAAAGAGAGTTGAAAGAGAGTTGAAAGTCCCTCGTACTAGGCCTGCCTGCTTGTTGACCCCTAACAAACACACATGCTTAGGGATTGGGATGGTTCTTGAGAGTCCACATTCTTGAGAGCGAAAAAACACACATGCTTAGGGATTGGGATGGTTGTTGCAAGTCCACATTCTTGAGAGCAAAAAAAACACACATGCTTAGGGATTGGGATGGGAGTCCACACATTCTTGAGAGCGATTGCTTGACGCACAATCTCTGCTCAAGAGGGACTTTGAGAGGGACTTTGAGAGGGACTTTGAGAGGGACTTTGAGAGGGACTTTGAGAGTGACTTTGAGAGGGACTTTGCTAGCGTGCTTTCATGAGGGACTTTGAGAGGTCTGTGTTCATAGTGTTGCCGCCGCTGCACATGTCCCGTCAAAGCAATGGTTGTGGTTATATCGATGTGTTTGGACATGATGCTAGGGCCTATGAAAGCAAACAGTAGGCTCTCAACAGAACAAAAAAAACAGTTCTCGGCCAAACCAAATCTCAACCCGCAAGCAAAATCTCAACCCGCAAGCAAACCTCAACCCGCAAGCACATGCCAGTAAAGCAACACAAAGCTTCCGCTTGAGGTTGATCTTGAGTTGCCATGGCAACTCGCTTGCACGTGGGCAACTGGCGGTTTGCCACGACCAAGGCTGAAGCTTCTTCGCAAATGCAAATTTTTGACCTGCATTTTGATGTAAATCTGTTTGGTCTGAACTATAATTGCAGTTGAGAAAGCCAAGAAACTTATGTAGCTCCCCTGAGCCACCAGCCAAGGAGATCGAGCAGGTCTGCAGGAACCACCTGGAGCCCAATGGCATGCTCTCCGTGAAGATCGTGCGCAAGGGCTCGGCCATGCATTCGGTGATGTGCTCGTCCTTTCTTGAGTTTGAGGGGGAGATGGAGATGCTGGCCGCGAAGGAGAGGCTCCAAGGCTTGCAGGTGCCGGAGGCCTACAAGCCGCTTGTGTGCGATCCTGCTGGAGATGCTCGGGCGCCGGCAGCTGCAAGCAAGCGGCAGGGCTCACGGCCGGCGGCACCTCCTCCACCGCCAGCTCGCCGTCCGGCCCCCACCCAGGCACCTGCAGCCAGCTGGCATCCGCCTCCGGTTCCGGAATTCCCTCCACGTCCTCCAGCGATGTCGGCCCAGGCAAAACATCCACCGCCGCCTCCCCCGGCAGTGCCACCGCCTTTGGCGCAGCCCCTGCAGCCCCAGCATCAACCGGAATCGGCGACGCCGCAGCCTATGATGCCCCAGCATCAGCCGGCCCAGCATCAGCCTTTGATGCAGCCCCAGCATCAGCCTTTGATGCAGCCCCAGCATCAGCCTCCTTTGATGCAGCCCCAGCACCAGCCTTTGATGCAGCCTCAGATGCTGTTTGAGGAGCATGTGGTCATGATGCACTTGACGCAGCCCCAGCTCCAGCATCAGCCTTTGTGAATGCAGCGTCAGCCCATGAACATGATGCACCCCGCGATGCAGCCACAGCAGCATCAAGCCATGATGCATCAGCCCATGATGCAGCCCCAGCAGCATCAGCCCATGATGCAGCCCCAGCAGCATCAGCCCATGATGCCGCCCCAGCATCAGCCCATGATGCCGCCCCAGCATCAGCCCATGATGCAGCCTCAGCAGCCCCAGCATCAGCCCATGATGCCACCCCAGCACCCCATGATGCAGCAGCAGCAGGTTCAGCAGCAGCAGCATCAGCCCATGATGCAGCATCAGCCCATGATGCAGCCCCAGCATCAGCCCATGATGCAGCATCAGCCTATGATGGAGCCCCAGCATCAGCCCATGATGGAGCCCCAGCATCAGCCAATGATGCAGCCCCAGCATCAGCCACCGGCAAGGGCGGTGCATGGTTCGATGCGGCCTGCGGAGCCTGCGGAGCCGCCTTGGAAGCGCCAACGCAGCCCGGAGCCGGCCAGCTGGGATCCATACCAGCCGGGCGAGGAGAGTTTGGAGGATTGGGGGGAGGATTGGAAAGGAGAGGATTGGAAAGGAGAGGATTGGAAAGGGGAGGATTGGAAAGGAGAGAATTGGAAAGGGGAGGATTGGAAAGAGGAGGATTGGAAAGAGGTGGATTGGAAGGATTGGAAAGAGGAGGATTTGAGTGAGGAGGCTTGGGTGTCAAACATGTTGCAGCACCAAATTCGTTGGTGTCAATCATTTTCAGTAAAACTCACATTTTTCTCGTGGCGCAGGCTCCTTCGCCTACCTCGCCTGCTGACCCGGCGGCCTCGCCTCGTTCGTTGGGGTCGGCGGCTGCAGCGCCGGTGCGTCCGCGGAGGAGGCGCAGGCGGAGGCGGATCGCAGCGAAAGCGAATGCCGCGCGGCGGCGTCGCTAAGCTTGCCTCTGGTCGATGCTTGTCGGCACCAGTGTCACGTAGGAGGCCAACAGCGATTCAAATCATTTTCCATGTAAAGGTCTTTTCCATGTAAAGGTCAACAGCATGTTACCCTCCAAATAAAGGTTTGCGTCACAGGACGTTCTTTGCTTCAGGAGATGATCTTCGACTTTTTGGAGGCCAGCAACTCGACTGTGAGACATCTTTGAGCTTTTCTTTTGCTTTCAAAATACGTTGACAGCTGTCTTGATAAGCGATTTTTTTGGCTCCCAAAAGCACATCCCTCAGGTTTTGCTTCTCGCAAAGTGAGAAGCCGGAATTTACGCTGCCTACGTAGCGGCTCTTCGATCTTGGGACGGCTCGGCGTCAAAACAATGCTTAACGGTCTGAGTATTTTTTGCACATGGTACATTTGTGTTTGAGTCTCGATACAATTGATGACATGGTTGAGCCATCTGTACCTTCTGCTTTGATGTGCGTGAGAGAGTTGCGCTTGAGAGAGTTGTGCCTGAGAGCATTTGTGTTGTTTTTTTCTCAGCCAGCCTTTCTTGAGAGACTTGTGCTTGAGAGAGTTGTGCCTGAGAGCATTTGTGTTGTTTTTTCTCAGCCAGCCTTTCTTGAGAGACTTGTGCTTGAGAGAGCTTGGGACTTCTTGGATTGAAAACCTTGTCAAGCCATACGAGTGCCGCATGTGCTGTGGGATGAGTTGCTCTGACTCAAACACATGTCTTGCGATCTTGCAGTTTGCCGACCAGCCATGTCACCGAAGAAGGCCATGAAAGTCATGAAGACCTTCAAGGCGCCATCCCTCCCTGAAAAAAATATTCCAGCTCCAAAACTCATGTGAAATCAGATTTGGTTAAGGCAGACACTCAAGCATTCCTCTCAAGCATGACTCTCATACAAAAACTCTCAAGTGTTAGTTCTAGATCCCCAGCCTCCTAAATCAATTGTCAATGCCCTCATTGTGCATCACCTGTGGCTCTCAGGCAGTGAACATGAAGTCGGCCATCCAGCGCGCTTCTTCATCCACAAAGGTCAAGTCCATGAAGGCCATGAAGGCCATGAAGGCCATGAAGGCCATGAAGGCCATGAAGGCAATCAAGACAACGAAGGCGAAGAAGGGCCGCAAGCTGACATCGCTTGAGATGTCCACCATCTGCCGCGCGATGAAGATGGCAGCGATCAGAAGCTCCCTCTACGATGAGTGGCTCGATGCTGGCATGGCCATTGACTGGCACGATTTTGCCGTTAATATGCTGCTGGTTCGATTGAAGCGAGGCGAGTACCGCCGCTTTGGGTTGAAGTTATAGATTGGATGAAAAAGAGGAGGAAACATGTGCGCTTGTGTCATGTTACACATCTGCCTGAGAGAGATTGAGAGTGCTTGAGAGTACACATTCGAATTGCAATTGGTTAAGTAAAGAGTAGCCGCCCCCAAATGCTGAGCAACACATGAGAAGCCAATGCACATTGTCTACGGTCAGACAGAATCAGGGGAGCTAGAATCACGCGCTCAGGTCATGAACTTTTGTGGAACTTTTGTCCTCATCGCATTGGAACGATTGACAACTACAATGAATCGACATTGCAAAATGCAATGTTTTCATTGCAGTTTGCGTTTTTCATATTGCACTTTGCATTGTTCATCATTGCAAAGTGCAATGTTCATATTGCAGTTTGCAATGTTGATATTGCACTTTCAACAAGGAACATTGCACTTTGCAATATAACAATGCAGTTTGCAATGACAGAATATAAAAGTGCAATGTTTTCATTGCAAAGTGCAATGTTCCTTGTTGAAAGTGCAATATCAACATTGCAAACTGCAATATGAACATTGCACTTTGCAATGGTGAACATTGCAAAGTGCAATATGAAAAATGCAAACTGCAATGGTAATATTGCACTTTTAGAACCTTTGCAGGCCGTGTCAACTCAGATTGCTCCACATTGCTTTCACTCAATCCTATTAAGTTCAAAATCTGTGTAACCAATTTGAGTTGTTATGTAGTTCAACTACAATGGTTCTCAAGTGGCACAGCCATAAGCTATTGTAGCTTTCTTGCCATGGATGCGCAAAGAGATGAGATCCATGTTGCTTGAGAGATTCATGCTGCAAGTACGTGAGTGGTTCATGTGAGGCATATGTATGCAGAGCATGTAGGAAACATTTCAGGTGCTTGTTTGATGGTTGTTGCTTTTGTGTAGCATATCATTGTGTGGAGGGGTTCATGCGCGTGTGAGAGTTGTTGCGGTTTGCCACAAGTGCGTCTGACACTCATGTTGGTGCGACACGTCCATGCTTGCTACTTGACGCCTTTGCATCAGGAACTTGGGCACTCAAGTACTTCCTGGCACCTGCCTTGCAATGAGTGCCCCCGAAGACACCCAGCCTGATGGGCCAGATGGTGTGTCTTTGAGCCAGGAGACCATGCAGCTCGGGCAGGATGGTTCGGATGATGTCCTCAAAGAGCCTCAGCCTTGCAAAAGACCTGCAGCCGCCAAGAGCTCTTCCCTCATGAAGCGCCCAGCCAGTCAGGCTGCTGAAGCCTCAAAGCCCAAAGCGGCTAAGAGCGCTCCAAAGCCCAAAGCGGCTAAGAGCGCTCCAAAGCCCCAGGCGAAAGTGAAAGGGGAGCCCAAGCCCAAGCCGCTGGGCAAAAAGCAAAAGCTTGCTGCTGTTTTTGCCGGAGAGCCCGCCTCTGCGGCTCCCGCTGACCCTTCCATCCCCGAGGAGGAAGTTGAGGTAGCCGAGGGCGCCGAGGAGTCTCGGGACCGCTCCAAAGCGGCGCGCTTCTTCCAGCTCATGCGAGGGGGCTCTCTGCCCGAGGCGGTCCTGTCCGAGTGGCAGAAGTCTGGGACCCGCAAGGCCCAGAGCGCTCTGATCAACAACCTTTTCGAGAAGGTTGGCGGCCGCCTGCAAGTCAAGGCCGACTTTGTCCGGCCTGCCACATATCAGCAGACCAAGAGCCAACATGACAGGGCATGTTGGCCTTTTCTTGAGAGACTGTGCCTATAGCGCGCGTTGGCCTTTTCCTGAGAGACTGTTTCTGGCGGCTTTTCCACGCCAGGACCGTTGAGCGGACAGAGACGGCTACCGACCGCCAGTCTGGGTTTGGCAAGACAGTCTTCATGAGGATGTGCCGCTTCGACACGGACGATGACTTGCAAGCGGCCATCGACGCGGGAGACGTCATGACGTTCACGACGAACGGAAAGACCATGTACGCGGTTGTCAACGTGGAGCTGAACACGTCGGCGAAAAAAAACAACGCGGAGACCATGGCGTCCGACGTGCTGGAGCTCTCCGCAGAGACTGGCTCCATCTTTGACAGCATCTGGTCCAAGCTGAGCCCGGATGTCAACGACGCGGACTCGGGCGCATCGTCCTCAAACCAAGGCATGCCTCTTGTCTTGCAAGGTGCTTCCATCTTCTTTGCGTGCGTGAGAGACTGTCTCAGTTTGATTGTTTGTGTTTCAGCACCAGTCTTCAAGGGAAACAATGTTGGCCTTGAGAGCTTGTGTGCTGCTTGTGCTCATATGTTCTCATGCATTTGAAGAAACCCTCTCATGTGCTCTCATGAGCTTTGCTTGAACTCTCACAAGTGCTCTCATGAACACTCTCCTGTGCTCTCATGAACTTTGCTTGAACTCTCAGAAGTGCTCTCATGAACTCTCTCATCTGCTGTGCCCTCGTGTGCCCTCATGTGCCCTCATGCGCTCTCCATGGCAGTTCTGTCACGAACAAAGTCACTCTGCGTTTCTTGAGCGAGGCTTCTGCCTGATTCCAAAGAGTTATACGTGCGTGAGGGACTGCAGCAAAACTATCCTTGCTGCACGTGACCTCAACACACAAGGCTGGCCATCAAGGACGCCGATCACAAGTTCGGGCCGGATGAGCTCCAGAAAGTTCGCCCCCGCCTGTCAGTTGCCATCAATGCTATGGACAAGCTGCTCAAGGAGACGCGCAAGTGCGCGTCGCAGATCACGACGAAGGACGATCCCGTGTGGCCCATTCTGTCCTTTGTTTGAAAACTTAATGTTTTAGAAGCTTTGTTTTATTCGAACCTTGTTTCTTGTTGCGTTCATGATTGTATCTTTCATTCCTATATAACTGCATCAAAGGAAGCGCATCGACTCGGACCTGACGCACGCTATCAAAGACAGCGAGCACGTCAAGAATTGGGGCGAGCTACCTCATGGAGATGAGATCACGGGGGCGAAGTTCACCAAGGCCATGACACACTGGGGCAACGTCACCACCGGCTGCTATGAGCAATTGTGCGGCGTGCAGGCCCAGTTGCGCTCCCGGGCATAGTGTGCTTTTGGCTGGCGCATTGCGTGGGGGCAAGTTGTTTGAGCGATGATATACTTGCATACTGAGCGTGGCAACTCGCCCAACCCAAACAGTTGTGAGTGGAATGCAAACATGGAGTTGCCCCGAATCATGATCTGGGAAAACGCAATGCAAAGCCATACGTGCGTAGGACCGTGTGAAACATGCAAGATTTTGAGAACAGCTTGCTTGGCGTGCGAGAAAAGATCGTGGAATCCTGTATGCATGATGTTACATGAGTGCTAGAGCTGTGCTTGAGAGGTACTCTTGGCATGATGTTACATGAGTGCTAGAGCTGTGACCTTGAGAGGTACTCTTGCATAATGTTACATGAGTGCTGGAGCTGACCTTGAGAGGTACTCTTGGCATGATGTTACATGAGTGCTAGAGCTGACCTTGAGAGGTACTCTTGGCGTGATGTTACATGAGTGCTAGAGCTGACCTTGAGAGGTACTCTTGGCATGATGTTACATGTGAGTGCTAGAGCTGACCTTGAGAGGTACTCTTGGCATGATGTTACATGTGAGTGCTAGAGCTGACCTTGAGAGGTACTCTTGGCATGATGTTACATGTGAGTGCTAGAGCTGACCTTGAGAGGGACTCTTGCTTGCAGTCTGTGCTTTCGCTGTGACGCACGCGTGCTTTGTATGCTCGAACGAGTTTCGGAGGTTTTTTTCAATGGGTCAGTTGACGGTTTTCACATGTTGCCACAATCTAGCTTAGCTATTGCCAACGCATGTTCTGGTTCAGCAAACTACAAATGTTTCTTCAGCGGTTCATAACGAATTGGGTACTGCCTCAGGTGTTACAATCAGCATTCTTCTCTCAAGCAGCCTTGCGTTTTACATGAGTCTAAAATTTTCAAGCACAAGTGTCGCCTTCTCTCACATGAAGCGAAAAGGAGGCCTACATCAACGGCTGGCAGCTGCCAATGAAGGTCCAGCAGCAGTAGCTGCCCAGTCTTTTCTGGCTACATTTTTGATCACTGAGTTTGCCTGGGGTCGCATGAGCCCTGCGCAACTCCAAAAGTTCGCAGACCTAGCGGCCCGCGACGTCGAGCAAGGGGTTGCCTGCTTGCCACAGCTCAAACGCTTGGCCAGTATAGGATGCAACGGGCGCCTAACAAACAATATGCACAGAGACCTTGGAGGCAGTTGAAGAGCAAGCCCAAGACCCCGCCACCCACTGCGATCACAATTCCTACTGCCACAACTGAAGCAGAAGCAGGGCTCCTTTTACCGCATACGCTTTTTGCTTCAATGTATGAGGACTACCAGGACGCATTTCACAACCTGTTGACCCCTGGCGGAACCAGCGCTTTGCAACGGTTCTGGTCTCAGTGCAGCTCGGCGCCCCAGTTTGCAGAGCATCCAGTGTTTGAGAGACAAAACTACCAACGGAGATGTATACCCATCAGCATACATGGAGACGAGGTGCCGGTCGTAGGAAGAGGCAAATGTTGGTGTAAATGCAGTATTGTGTTCAGTTGGTATTCAGTCTTAGCCCACGCAACACCTACCCTGAACAGTCTGTTCTGGATATGGGCATGTGTGCCACACCTCTTCAAGGAAGGAGTTGGTGGAACCATACAAGTTTTCTGGGAAGTGCTCTCTTGGTCGCTTGCAATTCTGTTTGCCGGCACGTGGCCGGCAAAAGGCCACAGAGGAATCTACTATGCTCCGGGCACCCCAGAACATGCCAAAGCTGGCCAGCCTCTGGCAGGAGGTTTTTTCGCTTGTCTGGTGAGCCTCGCTGGCGAGCAAGACGAAATGGCAAAATTTCTGCAGCAGCCGCACTGGGCTTCTGCGACTCGGCCTTGCGGCTTCTGCGAGGCGAGTGCGAAAGGACCACTTACCTATCTCGATTTTCGCGAGGAAGCCCCCTGGCGGTCTACAATTTTTTCAGCTGATTCCTGGTCGCACGATGAAAGGCGGTCCCAATGCCCGATATTTGACCTTCCTGGAGTGTCAGGCCTTTCTGTAGCGCCAGACTATATGCACTGCAAGTTCCTGGGCTACGTTCAATTTCTTTTTGGGTCGGTGCTATATATGCTTACACATCAAATTTTGCCATTGAACCCACTCGCAAACTTGCATCGCGTTGGTCTCTTCATCCACACGTTCCAGTCTCGCCGCGCAACCCCGAACAAGTTTCCAGTATCTGCGTTCCGGAAGCTTTCCATTTTTGTGCGCGCAAAGGGCTTTCCGAAGCTTCGAGGTAAGGCTGGTCAGCTGCGATCTTTGTGCCCATGCATCCTGGCATTATGGCGTAAGTTTATGAACAGGTCCATCAAAGTCCACCGGCAGATTGAGCTCCTCTTGGCGCTGAACGTCGAAGTAGACGAGATTTTTGACCGTTTCTCGCCTGCTTATGGGTACTACGCTCTGCCAGCAGAGCAAGCCGCGCTTGTGATTTCCAAGCAGCAATCCTGCGGCCAACTGTACGTCTTATTGAAAGAACATTTTCAAGACGAAGAAGTACCTCTGTTCAATGTAGTGTCCAAGCTTCACCTGAGCTTGCATTCTTGTTTGATTTCCTCAAGTCTCCATCCCCACTTGGCATGGTGCTGGAAAGGTGAGGACTTTATGGGCGCTGCCAGCCGGTTGCTTGGGTCCTGCGTGAGGGGGCGAAATGACATTGCTGCATCGATCAAAGCGGCTGACAAATACAGGCTGGCCATGCATATGTCTTGGCCCGCAGTCTGCGCGGAGGTCTAAACCTTTTAGAACAGCAAAACATGAGCGCTGTGGAGTTTGTTGGAGAGTCCTGCTTGAAAGGTTGGCCAGGCTAGCTGAACGACAAGCTTGGTGCTGAGTAGCTTGGCAACTCTGCCAGAGAGTTGCTGCTGAGAGTCAAGACCTGGACTTGTAAGTTTTGCATAGTGGCTATAGGCGGCACGAGTATCGTGGTAGGGCTGTGCTTGAGAGTTGTGCGTGAAGGTTCCTGATGAGAGTAGTGCTTGAGAGCTGCCTTTGAACAAGAGTTTGCTTCAAAACCGTGCTTGAGAGAGTGGAGGTGAAGGCTAGAGAGTTTCACTGCTGTGCTGAGAGCTACAGCGTGACGGCTCCTTATGAACATTTTATTTGAAGGTGTGCGCTTGAAGGTCGCGAGTCGTGCGTGAAACAAAAATGTCTTTTGTTCAGCTGACCAATCTTTGCTTGCAAACGCTGAGCAAATTGCAGTGCCGCGTGAGATGAAAATGAAAGAAAATGATAGCAAATACAAATTAAGATAGGAAGATAAAGGCCATCCAAAAATACCAGAATATAACCAAGATAAAGGGAACTAACGAACTATCCATGACTTCTTCATTCTAATATCCATTATTTGCTGTTATCACGACTAAATCTTACGGACCTCGTGGGCAGCGGAAAGAATATTTGTCAATTACCTCTCAATCAAAGCTTTTCATTTCTAGACAAAACATATTTCTGGATTTGAGGCAAGAAGAACTGAATAATGGCTCACCTCTGCTCGCTCTCAATTAGAATCTTATTGCCAAAGCGGCATTGCTGCGTTTTCAGCATCTGCCTTCTAGCGTTTGCGCCTCCATTTTCGCAATAAGATGCAACTTTCCCATCAAAACAGCCAACACATTCCTTCAAATTTCACTATGAAAATGCTTCATTTTTGCATGCCACAAAAATTAGCCCCGGGACTAAATGAACTAATTAGTCCCGGGGCTAATTTTAGCCTCGGGACTAAATTAGCCCCGTTGCGAGACTAAATTTAGCCTCGAAAATTTAGCCCCGCCCGAGTCTAAATCCTTATTTTGGACTAAATTAGCCCCGGGGCTATTTTTAGATGGATCTATTGGGTAAAAAAGGCTTGAGCTCGAGCCGAGAAATCTGCTACGCGCGCCAGCTCAGGCCGCGTGGTCATGTCAAGACAGCAAAAGTTGGCTTGGGCTCGAGCCGAAAAATCTTCACGCACGCCGGCCCAGGCCGCGTGGTTGTGTCGCGGAAGAAAAAAATGGCTTGAGCTCGAGCCGAAAAATCTGCCACGCGTGCCGGCTTAGGCCGCGTGCTCATGTCAAAACGGAAAAAGTGGCTTGAGCTCGAGCCCAAAAATCTGCACGCGCGCCGGCCCAGGTTGTGTCGCAGCAGAAAAAAAGGCTTGAGCTCAAGCCCAAAAATCTGCCACGCGTGCCGGCTCAGGCCGCGTGATCATGTCAAGACAGAAAAAATCGGCTGGAGCTCGAGCCCAAAAATCTGCCGCGCGTGCCGGCTCAGGCCGCGTGGTCATGTCAAGACAGCAAAAGATGGCTTGAGCTCGAGCCGAAAAATCTGCCACGCGTGCCGGCTTAGGCCGCGTGGTCATGTCAAAACAGAAAAAATTGGCTTGAGCGCGAGCCCAAAAATCTGCACGCGCGCCGGCCCAGGTTAGAAAAAAAAAGGCTTGAGCTCGAGCCGAGAAATCTGCTACGCGCGCCGGCTCAGGCCGCGTGGTCATGTCAAGACAGCAAAAGTTGGCTTGGGCTCGAGCCGAAAAATCTTCACGCGCGCCGGCCCAGGCCGCGTGGTTGTGTCGCAGCAGAAAAAAATGGCTTGAGCTCGAGCCGAAAAATCTGCACGCGCGCCGGCCCAGGTTGTGTCGCAGCAGAAAAAAAGGCTTGAGCTCAAGCCCAAAAATCTGCCACGCGTGCCGGCTCAGGCCGCGTGATCATGTCAAGACAGAAAAAATCGGCTTGAGCTCGAGCCCAAAAATCTGCCGCGCGTGCCGGCTCAGGCCGCGTGGTCATGTCAAGACAGCAAAAGTTGGCTTGAGCTCGAGCCGAAAAATCTGCCACGCGTGCCGGCTTAGGCCGCGTGGTCATGTCAAAACAGAAAAAATTGGCTTGAGCTCGAGCCCAAAAATCTGCACGCGCGCCGGCCCAGGTTGTGTCGCAGCAGAAAAAAAGGCTTGAGCTCGAGCCGAGAAATCTGCTACGCGCGCCGGCTCAGGCCGCGTGGTCATGTCAAGACAGCAAAAGTTGGCTTGGG